AAATGCAAGAAATGACTAAAATGAGATTGAAAATGAAAACAACAATTAAATATACAAATTTACACATCTGACAGAAATGGGCAAAACGCTGTGCACACGACGTGCATCACTCGTAATTGAAAATGTACATGGAAAATGTAATGGACATGAAAAGTCGTCAACGACGTGAAGTACCTGTCACTGAAATCACACATGAGAAATGCAACATAATACAATGTATCTTACTGCTACGAAATTGGTACCTCATGTCGAAAAAAATACAAATAACAGTAGGCTACAAGTCACGTCGTAGCTGTCGAAATGCTGCACTCAGTCTACTGCAACCAACGCTACTGTACGAGCGCCCTAATGGTACCAAAATAAGACACCTCGAAAATGAAGAAAACAACAACTACAACACGCACACTACCACTGAGTATCTAACAATCGTACAATACTAAGACAAGACAACACGACAAAAAAAAATGCAGCACACGACATGATGAAGTAGAGTGCAAGTAGGGGAAAAGTTGAGTGCTGGTCTCACGGTCCCCAACCCCTCTTCCCCTTCCCGCTCTGTCTCCTCGTACCCCCTCGAGTGCCGGATGTCGGCCTCCTCCTCCCTCGTGCGGATGCAGGAGTCTGTGCAGCGGAGCGTGTAGATGCACGCGTCGGTGGTGGAGGTGGGGGCTAATCATCGTCGTCGTTCTCGTCACCACCGTCTCTGCTCTCGCTCTCCTCCACACTCTCCTCCTCGCCCTCACAATCCTCGTCCTCCTCCCGCACTGCCGGTACCGTCTCAGGATCATCCTTCTTAATAGTTACAGGGCCTCCTCCCTTTCTCAACAAAACAACCTTCGCACTAGCCTCTGCGACTGTCTTCTCACGCCGGGATCCATGAGGCATCCCCAACCCGTCTGCCCCCGAACTCTCTCCAAATGTACCGCCTCCCTCTGCAGCCACGGGGCGTGGATGAGGAGGCACTCCACGCTTGCGTGGAGTCTGCTCACGCACAGCATGCGTCGCTGCTCTCAGAGCGTGGTCCAAGGTCGCGCTGGACACTCCTTTGCCGCGACCTCACCGAGGCTCACAACTTGATGCTGCTACCTCCCTCACTGTCGTCGTCCTGGCGCCGCGGGGTCCCAAGCCCGATTGAAGGCGTGCAGTGTGCTCTGTGACACAGCGGGTGGAATCTAAATCTATATCCGTCCTCCCGAATAATGTCGTGTCACACACGTCCCGCTGAACTGCTGTCGTGTTACGAATCCTCGATCTCCCGGAGTCCCGGGCGTATGTGGGGATCGAGACCCTCGGCCTGTGGGCGACGATGATGGATCACCCACAGGTGGTCTGGGAGGAGGGGTTGGCATGTCTCCTGTACGTGGCGCTGGCTCCTGCACGCCCCCGAAACCCCTGGAACATCTCCCAAGGTACGTCCTCCGCTGGAGGTAGACCCAGACCACACGGGCGATGCAGAACCCCATGGAACCGAAGGGATCGCCTGCCACGGTGGTTGCTCGAGCCTCCGTTCGAAGATCCGCCGGTCCAAACGAGTAACATCGCGCACAACATCTCTCGCCAACTCCTTTGCATCTAAAGGTCGACAGACCTCCTGGGGAGCGAAGTGAGTACGAGGACGTGGAGGCTCAAGCGTCGGTTCGGACCCCAAATCCATGATAACGAGCGGTGGCAAGCCATGCACTGCCACCTGAACCAGCTGCGACCATCGGCCCTCGGCCAAGTGCAGGGCGGAAAACGGAACGACTGGACCCGTCACTGTCTGAACCACGGGCCGTGCATCTCCAGCCCCCTCGTCTCGCCCCTGTCCTGCATGCACTGCCTCATCCACCGCCTGTGGCCCGCCCTCCACAGGAACATCCACTGCCTCTGGCCCACCCTGCATAGCCTCATCGTCCACCTCTGCTCTCACTCCCTCCATAACGTCCTCCCTCGCCACCACCCCACCCTGCACACCAACCTCCCCCGTCTCTCGATGCCTCGCCTCCTCCAAGGCATGTGCGAACGCCTGAGCACGTGGGTTACTCGATGCCATAAGTCGAGCCCTCTCTCGCTCCATGATGTCGCGTGCCGTGTCCGGGGATGCCGCCTCCGTTCTCTCTCTCGGGGTCTGTGTCCCCGTCTCACCTGCTCCGTCGTGCCGTGACGACACCCGATCTGTCGATGTCGCCCCGCTGCAACTAGGTGGACCGCCCATCGACATGTCGAAGTCGAAGTGCGTCCCCATCTCCGACCCCGCCCCCCCTGTCGGAGGAAAAATCCCCAGCTCCATCGCCACACCCGGGGTCAAACCCCCCACGACTGGATCGAGGTCCTCCACGATGAAGAGCTGCATGAGGTTGTCCTCGGCGTCCGCACCATCATGATCCATAGGAATGGATGCCAATATCGCCACTGCCGCTACCTCCTCCTCCCTCTCCACTGCTGCTGCTATGTCCCCCTCCCTGGCTACCTCCTCCTCCCTCTCCATTGCCGCCGCCGCTACCTCCTCCTCAGTCGTCGCCTGTACTGGCACCTCCTCCTCCGCTGTCCCGACTGTTGGTGCCTCCTGCTTCGCTGCTGCCACCTCCCCCTCCTCCTGCAAGACCCCCGGGGAAGGTGATCGTAACCAGAGTTGTCGGACCACCGTCAATCTCTGGAGCAGTCCGTGCGGAGGCAAGGAGGATGCCAACTCCTCCGTCTCCGACTTTGTACTGGCTAGTTGAACAGGCAAGACGGGGGTGGGTGGTGCAGGACTGGGCGCAGGAGGTGGTGGAATGGGAGACTCTTGCCTCGTAGTAGGAGTCGGTCTCCCCGCCTCTGCGCGGCTCGTGTCGGCATGAGAGGCCCCACCTCTGTCATCACGCACATCACCCGTGGAAGCCACCTCCCCGAAAGGGCCCCAAAAATCCTCGTCCCCCCACATCATCTCCCTCTCTGCCCGGCAGACACTCCGTCGCGCCGTGTACGTCCTCACCTCGGCGTCATCGGCCTCCTCGTGCGTCTCGTCAATCTCACGAGGGCTGGGGAGCGCAGGGTCATCTACTCCATCGGGTGCACGCTCCTCATCCGACTCGTCGTCCCTGGGGTACGAACGGAAAATGCAAGCACGTCTCGCGAAAACTGCATCAGTGGCGGGCGGTGCGGAAGCCCCAATGGGATCGCGCATAATAAGCGCAACCTGTTGGGCAATCTCCTCCTCCATCATCCCCTTGCGCGTGCCCATGTGCACCGGCTCCAACTCCAATCCTGCCTGGCAGTCCAGCATCCCCTCGTCATGCTGCCATGGCAGCACGTAATCACATTCTGCCCGCCGATGCTCTGTGAACCGCACATTGGCGGTGATCTCGACGAGTTGCACGACCTTCTCAAAGGCCAAGCGGTTGCGCTTCTTCGTGTGGATCTATGTTGCCCGCCCGGCCGCGGCCGGGGGGAGGAAATCGGCCATGGCCTCGGCCGACAGCTGAATCGGCCAGGTTCGGCCACGATCGACCAGCCGAGTTTGGTGCAGGATTTTTTTTTTTTTAACACATGAAAATATATATATATATGTGACGATATATATGGGCGTGTAGGGCTAAAAAAACCCTACACGCCCATATTTTTTTGGGGGCCATTGTTGTTTTCTATTGCGTAACAAAAAAA